AAATTGTGTAGCAAAAAGAACAAACCATACTGTTTTTTGAAATGGTTAGGTCTATGATGGTACAAATAAACCTTCCAGTTTCATATTAGAGAGATGCCTTATTAACTGTTGCCTATATACTTAATTGTGTGCCTTCTAAATCTGTTACTTCCACTCTTTATGAATTATAGACAGGAAGAAAGCCTAGTTTAATACATTTGAGACCTTGGGGGTCTGCATCATTTGTTCGCGATACTACACATCCTCATAGAAAATTAGGTCTGAGAGGAATGAAGTGTATCTTTATTAGGTACTCTGAGCATTCTAAAGGTTATGTGCTCATCGGCGAAAAATCAAATTGAAGTATAACAGAAATCGAATCACGAGATGTGACATTTATGTAAAGTGATTTTCCTAAGAAGGGAGAGGTTGAAAGGGAATCTCGTCTGGAAGAGATGATTTATCCAACTAATGTTTTTTTACTAACCAATCTGTGGAAGTTGGTAAAAGTTCTCGTGAACTATCTCAATCTAGTGGGAGAGAAACAATGGTTAATGATTCTTTAAAAGAAGAATTACAAGAGTCTGAAATGCGTAGAGGTAACCGTGAAAGAATTCCTCGGTGTCGATTTGAGATTGAAGGGGAAGTTTTCATAGTTGCCTTGCATGATAAATTAGAGCCTAGATCAATTCAACAGGCTCTCTCTTGCCCCAACTTAGCTGAATGGAACTGTGCAATCAGAGAAGAATTAGAATCTATGAAGATAAATCAAGTATGGGACTTGGTTGATCTTCCGCCAGAACATCGAGCAATTGGAAACAAATGGATTTTCAAATTAAACGAAAGGTGGATGGATCCATAGATAGGTATAAGACTCGTTTGGTAGCAAAAAGTTATACCCAGAAAGAGGGTATAAACTATGAGGAAACATTTTCACCAGTGGTGAGATTTGCCTCGATTCGCCTTATTCTAGCAAAAGTTACCGGATTAGATTTAGAATTACATAAAATGGACGTTAAGTCTGCATTTCTACGGAGACTGAGAAGAAGAAATGGTACAACCTGTTGGTTTTATGGAAAGAGGTCATGAACGCAAAGTTTCTAAGCTCAAGCATTCTACATATGGTTTAAAACAATATTCTAAACAGTGGTACCTTCGTTTTCATCGAGCTATAACATCTTATGAGTTGACGATAACTACTGAAGATCACTGTGTCTATATCAAGAGAACTAAAAAATCTTCTGTAAGTCTATCACTATATGTTGACAACATCTTGTTGGCTGGAAATTACATGGAGTTTCTAATAACCGTTAAGACATGGTTATCATCTCATTTTGAGATGGAATGATGTGGGAGAAGCGAACTATATTCTTGGTTTCACCGAGATCGATCAAGGAAATTATTAGCTCTGCTACAAGGGTCATAGATTCGTACAATCCTTGAAAGGTTTAAGATGCTTAATAGTAATCCGATTGAAACTCCAATCGCAAAAGGTGAAGGTCTTAGCCTAAATATGTGCCCTCAGACCAGTGAAGAGAAAAGTGAGATGGAAGGAGTCCCATACTTCAGTGCTATAGGCATCTTGATGTATGCTATGATGTGCACTCGACCGTATATTTTTTATGCGGCTGGCTTTGTAAATCGTTACCAATCAAATCATGGGAAAAAACATTGGATGGCAGTGAAAAGGTCCTCGTATACTTAAAGGAAACAATGGACTATTCCATGTGTTATCGAGAAAGTGATTTACACTTGACGGGATATACAAATGTCGATTAGGCTGGTAATCTGGATGAGCGTAGATCAACTTCAGGAGATGCTTTCTTGTTGAGAAATGGAGCCATTACTTGGAGTAACAAAAAGCAATCTTGCACAACCTTATCAACGATGGAAGCTGAGTTCATTGCATGTTCAGCATCAGTGAAAGAGTCTGTATGGCTTAGAAGATTCTTACAAAGTTTACAAGTCACTACGGAGGCTTCGTATCCTATGACTATCCATTGTGATAGTCAAACTTGTATTGCTTATATGAAGGATCCCAAGTATCATGGGAGGAGAAAGCACATTGAAGTTAAGCATAGTTTTGTGAGAGACATTGTGGCAAAGAAAGAAGTGGTTCTTAAGTACATATCTACACATAGAAAGGTAGCTGATCCGTTTACTAGGCCCATTCCTAGAGATATTTTTCTTGCTCATGTCGAAATTTTAGGTTTGCGTAGAATTTAGTGTGTGTGTGCTAGTGGAGTTTAGTCATGTAACATTATATTTTTATTTGATGTTTATTTATTTTGAATATAAATTTTTGAAATTATATATATATATATATATATATATATATTGAAGAGTAAATACGCAACTTTTACAGTCAACATAGATAATGAATTGATGATTAAGCAGTTTTTAACTTGAAACTTTTCACATGTGTCTTTATATTAAATATATTTGTTTGTGTCAGATATTACCACCTTGATAAACTATTATGTTTTATCATTATATAATTGACCATAAATCTATTATTATAGTAACAATAATTAAAAGGTTAAGATTTAGATAATAGTATTAAGATAAATCTGTGTGTACGTATATTTAATGAGTAAATTAATTAAATATTATTTTTATCGATTCATTTCTCTATTTTTTTAACAACATAAATTAAATTAATTAGCGGACATGTCGGTTTAGAAAGCCAAACCAGTGGTATATCAGCATATAACATAGTTGAAGGAGAACTCTTCGCATCACATGCAAGTTTATACGTCCTTGTATTTTGAGTTCTTGGAATATGTCGGACCTTGAAATCAAGGAAAAAAATTTTACTGCGTCAAAATTCTTCCATCTATGTAGAAAAAGCTACCCATTCTTCAGGTGTCGATACCATATGCGTTAACTGAGAATAATCCGTCGTAAAAACTACACAAGAGAATTAGAAGGTCTTCATGCATTCCATTGCCCAAATCAAGGCTTCACATTCAACATGTAAAGGTGATAGACTATGCCGCAGATTCATCGCACCCATCATCACCTCATCTGAAACTGTCTTTCAACAAAACCATCCTCGTCTTGTGAAAACATATTTCTTCTCCATGCACCATCAACATAACATACTCTCGCATGTCCCCATGAATGCCAATCCAAAATCGGCTGAGGGACTCCGTGTTGTACAGCCACCGTCAATTACGCCTTAGCACATACGACACCTTCAACTTCTGCTATAAAAAGTCTTGTGACCTTCCTTCTTATCTATAAATCTTGTCATTTCTATTCTTCCAAATATACCACAGAATCCAGGAGAAATAACTAAAATCATCATCATATTCGAAGTCTCCAAAAGAGATAATCTATGCTAGTAAAAATCAAAGAAGATGGAAAAAATTCAGGTCGGAAAGGGATCTAGACAGTGGCGGATGTAGGTGAGTCAAGTTGGTGGCACTTACCCATGAAAATTTCAAATTTTACATAACATCTATGTACATTAGCCTTGTTTTCTATGTTTATACTTGATTTGGCCCCTACTAAAACTTATATTTTAACCATGTCTTCTACGTTTATATTTCATTTGCACCCAACAAATTAAAATCATACATCCGCCATTGATTTAGATAACGCCCAAATTTGTAGTGCTGATGGATATTCAAAGAAAATATGGTTAGTGGATTCCTCCTCTGCCCCAAAAATACTATATCGTAAATCACAGTCAATTCCACGTGTTTTAAGATTCTTTGATATCGGTAAAGTGCCCGATAAAATTTGCCAAAGAAAATGTTTTCGTTTGGAAGGAAACTAAAGTTTCTAAGTAAAAGCCAAAAAGGGTTTAATAGTTGGATCATAAGTGATCTTCCTAGGAATTTATCTGGATATAGTAACGACTCTGTCCTAAATCTTGACTTTACCAGAATATTTACCGAATTCTGTAAAATATCCATCAATATGAATTTAGTCTCTGACTCCTTTTTATAGTTTCATGCATATCTCTGAGTTAAAAAGGTGAAAATGATTAAAAGAGACAAATATTACGTTTATATTTTATTTTATTGTGTGAAATTTTTGATATTTTGTTATGTTTTCATAGAACTTATTGTTTGTATTTAAAAAGATGAAAATGAGACAAAAAGAGAAAAATTCAGAAAAATGAAACTGATTAAGAGAATAAAAATAATTTATCAGGCTAAATTTTTAATTTAAATGTATTTACTAAGATTTTATCTTTATATTTATTTACTAAAATAATATAAATGTATTTGTGTGTGTCAGATATTACCACCTTGATGAATAATTAAGTTTATCATTATATAATTGAAAATAAATCTATTATAATAACTCTAATTCAACAGTTAAATTTAAAAAATAGTAAGATAAATGTGTATATATTTATTGAGTAAAATAATTAGTTTTATCATTAATTATCTCAATTCATTTTCTGTTTAAATTATTTTTATAATTTATCATAATTTGTTTTATTTATTTTCTAATTGTTGTGTTCTTATTTTGGTTGTCTGTTTCAACTTTTTATAGTTTCATGCATATCGCTGAGTTAAAAAGGTGAAAATGATTAAAAAAGACAAAGATTTACTTTCATATTTTATTTTATTGTGTAAAAGTTTTGATATGTTTTCATAATCTTATATTTTGTATTTAAAAGACAAAGATTTAACAAAAAAGAAAGAAAATCCAGAAAAATGAAAATGATTATTAAGAGAATAAAATAGTTTAGTAGGCTAATTTTTAATTTATAATGCATTACTATTCGTAAAATAATTATGTATGTATGAATGGTCAAAACATCTAGTACTAAAACAAATCTAATTAATATCAGCCCAAAGAAGGACAATTTAAAAAAAAAAATTAGGGAGGAAGAAATCTACATGATGATTATTAATTTAGTTTGCTCGTAAAAAATAATAAATTATTTAGTTACCACATTTTTATATTTTATATCAAATTACACTTTATATATAAGAAAACAAACAATATATAGTTGAAGACAGTTAAATAACGATAGCTGACAGAAGTCGTCATCATATTTAGAAGGTGACGTCAGGAACGATCCCAAGCTCCTTAAAAGCGGCGGGACATTCAGGTGACGGCGTCTTGACCATGAAACCGAGAGGGTTAACAATTCGGGTCTCGTGAGAGACAATACCGTCATTGGCCGTCAGGCTAACCTTAGCGGCGTTACGTAGGTAAGCATCTTGGCTGACATCACTGCAAGCACTGTCAGGTGATTGAAGGAGAACGAGCTCGCAGACTTCCTCCTCGTGGTCACCGGTCACTTCCATTGTGTAGCTGCCTGTGTTGTCCGTTACGGCTTCTTTTGTCAACGCCACGGTTCCGTTTGTTCTGCTCCTGCACTCTAGCTTCACTTTCGCTCCTTCACCCACCAAAAAAAACAGGTATAATTGGAAGGAAAAGACATATATTCAATTATTACTAGTTATTACACCTGCACTCTTCAATGTATTATGCTATTTTAAAAATAACAGAAGTAAAATTTACTATGCATTTAAAATAGCATTTTTCTGTTTTTCTTCAAAAGAATGTTAGTTTTCTACTAAATATGGAAGAAATAATAGTAATTTATATTTCAGAAAAAAGTGAATCGAGTAAATTTTCTTTCTATAATAGATTTATAGGCAGATATATAAATGAGTTGGAAATGTTGTCACCACTTAGTTATTGCTGTTTGATTATTGTTATTTTCTTTTAGATTTCCAACAAATACTATAAGCATGTGTAATTTGCATGTACATAAAACTATACCTTCAAGGAATTTGCTGAGACGGGTGACGAATTGGACACGGCATGTGTCACAGTAAACCGATCCTTGAATTTTGAAACTGTCAAAGTCATCGGCATCGGCCATAGCTTTACCGGCTAGAGACGACAGGCACAAGGCGGATACAAAGAAGAAGATGGCCTTGGTCGCCATTTGATTGAATATGTTACAAGATGTGTCTTTCTTCTCCTTTTGAATTGTTTTCTTTGTTGAGAATAGAGAAGAGGACAACTTATTCACAAGAGCCACAAAGTTCGGCTTTATACAATTAAAACCTCATTGTTATTTTTAGCTAAATTGTTGAAAACCATTTATTTCGTAAATTAACTATTTTTCTTCTCTAATAAAATGAGTTTGTTAATTATTTTTAATTATAGCCTTTAGTTTCCAAATGTGTCTTTCTTTGGACTGGACTTCCGGTCTTTTCTCTCCTTGGTTCTTCCCCTAAATTTAGAAATAAATAGAAATAATATTATGTTCACTATGTTAGGATTTAAAATACTTAAAATTAAACTCTTGTTGGATTTATAATTAAAAATAACACATCAGAATAATACAATGTAAGCCTTCATTTGATCTCTTATATTCAAGAGAGTTCTCCATTCATACAGTTTCCGGATACGGGTTATGCTCGGATTTACACTCGTCTAATCGGCTTGGAGCTGGAAAGCCGGATTAATCCACGCGCCACAGCTACATTGCATCCCAGCCCAGTTGAAATAACCTAACCGGGCGTTACATCCCAAACAAAGAAGCTTCTCTTCAACAAACCCATCATGAACTGCAATATCCAAACAATATGTAAATATTCACTAAAAAGATTCTTGTTGAGATACAGTCTACAGAGTTAATAACAGGTTTTGTAAAGATTCTCTCACTTGTTTGCATCCATTTCATAGGCTCAACAAAGATGGAAGAGCACTGGACTCGGTCAGCAGAATTTTCGCTTCTCTTCTTCCAAGCAAAGCATTCTTCACCTTTCCCTGGTTCATGAGGGACTATGTTTTTCTCAATAGCGACTATTATACAGCATTTCCTGCATCGGTACATGACTTGAGGCTTGGGGAGAGACTCTTGTGAAGATTGAAGAAGAATTGGTCTCTAATTTCTCCACTTGCAATTCAGTCATCACAGCCTTGTTGCTCTCTACCTCCACTTGCAATTCAATTTGATTATACAAATGTAGTCCAGGATCAAAACATTAAAATTGAATTTACAGAGTAATGATCTACCAAAACATCAGAACCACTGAACCAGAGGAGAAGAAGAACAGTAGCAGACAAAACTCAAACACATACAAAACCCTAGACAAGAAATATATAAACCTCCGCGGGAAAAAAACATAAGAAGCTATAGAAAACCCTCAAATGAAGCTTTTAGATATAAGAAAAAATATGAATCACCTTTGCCAAGGCTGGTGAGAGCTTACACTGGTGTTCTTCTTCCTAACAAATCTGTTCGGTTTTTATTTATTTTAGGTTCTGTCTATTGATTCTTCAGTGGTGGCTCAATAGCCAGGACTGGGCCGTGATGTGTTATGTGATGTGTTGTCGTATTGATATTCTTTAGGGTTTTTTCCTTTTTGAAAATTATAATAATGTAGATATAGTCATCATTAAGCCTACTTATGGTAATAACTATCAGTAATATGAAAAATATCCTATAAGAAGATCTCACATCAATGCTAATCCGTACTTTTTTGTCGGTGCTAATCTCTGCTTCTTCTCGGACTGAGATCCTAATCTATGGACCTCAGGTAATCATATGGTTAGTTTTGGCCTTAATCTGTTCAGCTATACGTAACTTTTCTCTTCAGTTGCCTTAGGGCAGCCTCAACGGTTGTCTTTTAATGAGATTCTCAGAATTAAATTTCTGTCAAATTAATTACAAAAGTTAAACCAGGAGGAAAGAGAGTGAATGAAGTTTCGGTGTATGAAGGAAATCGAGAGAGAGAATGCAAGAGAGACGATGAGTTTGTTATGAATATGAAATCTCACATTAATTTTACTATACACAATGTTCACCACTTATATACAGAGTGTGGTTAGCTAATTTACACTGTAACCGTATTCCTAACTGCTAATATACACCGTTTGCTAACCTACACTGTATCTAATACGCCCTCCTCAAGCCTTAATCTAGAGCAGTTGGAAGATAAAGACTTGAAACAGAGAGACGGCCAAGAAGAGAGTGAAATGGAGAGGGATGGAGTGGTTTGGTCAAAATATCAGCAAACTGATTGTTAACAGTAACCTGAATAGCAGTTAGGTTGCCAGCTTTGAGCTGATTCCGCACAATGTGACAGGGTTGGTGGCGATGTAGATAGCTGATTTACTGTCACAGAACAGCTTAGCCGTTGCAGTAACCTCAATATGAAAGCTACGCAGCAACTTCTGAAACCATAAAACTTCACGTGACATCAGCCAAAGCACGATATTCTGCTTCAGTACTGCTTCGACCACCCACTTTCTGCTTCTGAGAATGCCAACAGACAAGGGAGGTACCAAGATACACGCAGTAGCCAGTAGTAGATATGCGAGTATCACAACATGATGCCCAATCAGCATCCACAAAGGCGTTTAAACAAAGCTCGGAAGACGAAGGATTAAACAACCCTTGACAGGATTGCCTTTCACATACTTAAGGGTGCAATGAGCAGCATGAAGATGAACATCAGTAGATCGCTGTAGAAACTGACTCAGTATTAACCCTAAAGGCATTGTCAGGACGAGTAATTGTCAAGTACAGCAACCGACCAATGAGCTCTCTATAAGGACGAGCAGAGGGTAAAGGAGTACCATCCTCCAAGCTCAAATGCGCATAAGGATCCATAGGTATACTTGCATGCTTGCAAGCAAGAAGTCCAGTAGCCTCTAATAAGTCCAAAGCAATATGCGTTGGCAAACGAAAATACTAGAGACAGAGCGCACAGTTTCCAGTCTGAGAAAGAAACGCATAACACCAAGACCCTTCATCTTAAAAGCAGCAGTAAGTGTCGACTTCAAAGTAGAGAGCTTCTCATCATTGTTACTGGCAATGGCTATGTCATCCACATACACCAGAACAGCAACAAAGGCAGTAGGAGAAGCCTTCACGTAAAGACTTGTATCAGACTCGGATTGAGTATAACCAGCACCAACAAGAACCTTTGTCAACGTTTGATTCCACTAGCGAGAGGCTTGCTTAAGGCCATAAATAATCTTGTGAAGTCGACAAACGGGATTAGGAGGTAACACTTCATTTGGACCGGGATTATATCCTTGAGGCAAAGACATGTATATCTCCTCATCAAGAGTGCTATGCAAGAAATCATTGGACATGTCCATCTGTGATAGCTTCCAACCTTTAGATGCTGCAAGTGCCAACATAATCTTGACACTAGTAAGTTTGATAACAGGAAAAAAAGTTTCATTGTAATCAACACCCTCCTGTTGAGTAAAACCCTTGGCTACTAAACGAGCCTTGTACCGCTCAATGGTACCACCAGGACGGAATTTGATGGTGAAAACCCATTTGCAGCCAACCACATTGTTCCCCGGAGGAATGGAAACAACGGTCCAAGTCTTGTTCAGTTCCATGGCATTGAGTTCATCATTCGCAGCGCCCCTCCACCGATCAGATGTCATGACCTTAGAAAAGTTTTTGGGCTCAGTTTCAACAGAGAAGGATAAAAGAAATTGCTAATGGGGTGGAGAATGGCGTTTGTAGAAAAAAACAGAGGATAAAGGATAAGGTGTAGTATGGTAAGAAGGTAAATGAGAAGAATGAGAGTGTAAAAGAGCACAATGGTAATCAGACAAGTACGATAGTTTGTCTGTGTGGTCTCTCAGCATGACAAGGAACCATTGCAGTTTCTGAATTAACAGTTTCAGTAGCCTCTGGAACAACATTCGATGGAGGAGATGCAAGTGTTGAATGAGATGTAGTGACATGCGTAGAAGAATCAGGAATAAAAGGACACAGAAGCATGCAGAACAAGATGAGAAAAAAAATCAAAAACATAGGAATTAAGATTATGAAATGGAAAGACATTTTCATGGAATACCACATTGCAAGAAATAGAGATAGCATTTGTTTCAAGATCTAAAACTTTATAGACTTTATAACCCGATGGATATCCTAGAAACACAGATGCACGAGCTCTTGGACTAAATTTATGACGATCTTTAAGCAGAGTACTAACATAGCAGAGACAACCAAATACCCAAAGCATTTTGTAATCGGAAAATTTTTCAATAGCAGTTCATAGGGTGTTTTGTTATGAAGTAAGGGTGAGGGTGTTCTATTGATAAAAAAGGCAGCAGTACTCACACAATCAGTCCAATAAACGAGAGTAATATTAGATTGAAACAAGAGGGCATACACCACGTTTAAAAAATGTTGATGCTTGCGCCCAACAACTGAATTTTGTTGGGGTGTATAAGCACAAGCAAACTGATGAACCAAACCATATTTAGCAACCAAATCAGCAAATCGCAATTCAGGGGCATTATCAGTTCTAATAGCTTTCACTTTAGCATTGTATTGAGTTGTGATGTGAGTAATAAACGTTGGAAAAATGTCTGCAACATCACTCTTATTACGAAGCATATAGACCCAAGTTACACGAATGGCATCATCAACAATAGTAAGAAAATATTTGTAACCATGAAATCTGTTGAAAAAAGGATCCCAAGTATCCAAATGTAACAATTCAAATGGTTAATCAAACAGAACCATCAATAGACAATGACCACAGAAAGTAGAAGCTAAAGTAGAACAAGAAGCTTACAGATCGAGAATGTAAAGATTACGAAACACATCACCCTTCCCAATTATCGAGGCCTGAGAATGGACCTGGAGAAAACAGTAATCAGGAAAGAAATGCGAAGAGTAGTTATTATCATGAAGTAAAAAATGCACACTAATGAGATTAAAATGAAATGAAGGAACATGCAAAACATTATGCAAAATAAGAGTATCAGATAAGCTAATGGTGCCAGTATGCATGATGGGGAATGTTGTTCCATTCGGTAAAGAAACCGTTATGTCAGAAGCAGCAAAGACCTCTTGAAACTTTGAGATATCAACACAGACATGGCTAGTAGCCCCATTGTCAATTATCCAAGACCATAGGGCAAATAATTGTATAATGTGGAAAGACAATGATGGTGAAAGGTGAATGTGTGATGATCATAACGAAGGTTAGATGATAAGAAAAGGAATATACCAGCGGAAGATTGTTCAGCCATGATACCCTTCTCTGTAACAGAAGATGTGGAGCAAGAAGCAACATTGCCGGTGACCTGAACATGAGATTGAAGCTGTTGAATGATAGACTGGAGCTGAGAAGATGTAAGTTGATTAACATCCAAAGAGCTTGCTAGAACAAGAGGCAGAGGCTGGTGAGGAGTGAAACCAGCATTTCCCACCACCAGTAACATCATTAGCAGCAGCTTGAGTAGGAGACTAAGAGCGAGGAGGATAATGCACTTGACCACGTGGATCATAACCCGAGGAAGCTCGAGGGTTAGATGACTGTCCTTGATATCCAGGAGATGGTTTATAACCAGGAGGATATCCATGTAACTTGAAACACTTGGAAACAATATGACCAAGCTGACCACAATGAGTACAGAGAGGACGATTTCCACGGGGAGGATAAGCATGTAAGCAGCAATAAACGAGGAAGGATCCATATACTTCTACGGAATATGTCTTAGGAGGTGGTTTGATATTCCTCTGTCTCTCATCTTGAGTAACGATCTTGAAAGCCTCATCAATAGTAGGAATAAGCTTCAACATGAGAATGTGATGATGCGTCTGTTCATAAGTGTCATTCAATCCCATCAAGAACTTCATTATCCGATCTCGTTGCTGCATCTGCTCCCACAACAAAGATGCATTGCACTCACAAAGACCGCATGTTCAAACAGACAATTCAATATAGTTCTTGTATTCTTCCCACATGGTGATTAGCTTAGTATAATAAGCACTAACATCAAGAGATCCATGTGTAAGACTACCAAGACTTTGTTCAATCTCACAAACGTGAGGAGCGTCATCCTGCT